CTACAGCAGTACAGCATTCAGAATTGCTCTGACCCCGGGTTCCCTGCAGTGTGTGCCGTGCTTATGGCACATCTGTTAGTCGCTTTTTGTCTCACTTCGACCAGGGCTCACAATAAACGTGAAACAGGGACCCTCTCTCTCCTCCACCTGGCTTCTGCACAACATCACACACCTGCCCTGCTGAGCTGGACGTGTACTCTTTTACATCATTTCCACCGCTTATCTGTTCTTCTGTCTTTAATTTAATAGAATTAAGGCAAAAGCATGCAGCTGTGCCTCTGATCATCCTGTCCAGATGTATAATGCACCAGCGCGATTCATGTCATGTCCTGCGATCCAGACCTGTAGCAAACCCAGCTGCTCTTAGCTTGGGCTTCTAAACTTGGGTGTAGTTTGCTGTGCTGCTATCATGTAAGCAGTTTTGTTTTTCTAAAAAGTGAAAAAAAAGTGAAAGACTCACTGACTGACTGATTTCATATGCACTAAGAAGCATGATGTTCATTTCTCTCCTTTACTGTTGGCCAGATCCTAATCTTCGCTGAGACGCTCTTGTGTGAGTTGTCTCTTCGGTGTTAAAGGCACTACCAGGGACCAGGGGTAAGGAGGTCAGTGCGCTCTGTCTTTAACAAAGTTGGTGGCATTCTTCAAAGCAAAAATCACTCAGGAGATCTATGAAACAGAGTCTTTGGAATATATTCAAAAACCATGAAAGCAAAGCAAGCTACAGCCAGAGTCAGACAAAAGCAAGAAAAAAATGATCTTGTACTTAAAAGACCTTATCGAGATTTCAGGCTCAGATAGCGACATGCCCGGTCAGAGGACTTGGAAAGCAAGGTGGGGCTTTGTGCTGACCGCGGTAAACCACAGTAAAATCTGCACAAGTATCTCAATACTGAATGAAAAACAAGAGGGTAGCGGACAGTTCTGGAAGGTCTGGCAAGACTCGATCACTGATAGCACTGGAGCCCATCTGTCTTGCGATCTGGGCAGACAGCCGTGCTCTCTCCCCCCGGCCGGGCTGGAGAGAGCCGCCTGGGGGAGAGGGAGCCCAGAGGGCACCCACAGGGGCCGTACTCACCTGCCCACGTCCACAGCACCCAGAGCGCCCCTGCCAGGTGTGCCCGCGGAACCCACGCCATGGCAGCAGCTCCCTTTCCGAATCCCAATCCGCGTCTCCTCCGGACCCTTCTCTCCTGCTCCTTCTCTCTAAAGCAATCCCATTCCAAAGGGGAAAAATACAGAACTCACAAGAGGTCCAACAGTAAAGCCCCCTGTCCTAGTCCTTGCTTTCTTTTTCCCTTTGATTCTGTTTTTGCGTGTTATAATCCACCTCCTTCCCCTGCGGGGACGTGTGCGAGGCTGTGCGGCGTCTCTCTCTGCGCTCGAGTGGGACGGTCTCCCCTCCCTCTCTGCTCCCTGCCTGTCTGCTCCTCTCCCTCGCTGTGCTCTGATTCAGCCTGGCCTCTGGCTTAAAGAGGCAGAGAGCGAGAGAGAGGAGGAGGGGTCTCCAGACTCCGGAGCCTCAGCCCTCCAGAGGGAACTCTGAGCAAGGTGCAGGGAGGAGAGGGAGGAACGGAAAACTCACTAGAGAACCACACTTCAGGGAGACATGACCTGCACTCCTGTTGGTTAAAAGAACCCCTTTTGCTTTAAATACAGCTCAGACGGGGAAGCTACACTTTGCACAGTGCTCAGGCTATTGCTATTTTCAAGAAGCACAGAACTAATACGCACAAAACGTGTCCGTCATGTTGCCGATACTATACCCTTCCCAGCTCCATGTGCGTCACCCTCAGGACGTAATACTTTAATAAACGCTGCCCATTCCTCTGGACAGGTAACTGCTTTAATAATAACAGACAAGCAACAGGACTGGTCAATATTCCGATTCAGCAGTGCCCTCTGGGATGCAGTACAGAAATCCCTGGAATTCCTTGGGATGGGAGTTCAATCCCAGGAACAGGACAGTCTTCCCCACCGCCACCCTGACTAGGAGAGGGCAGGACAGTTTCACTGGTGCGTGAGAGATCTGATCCCTTCAGACCCTTCAGGCCCTGAAGCAGTTTTAACCCCTGTAGTGTCACCTGAACTCAATAATCCTGCACTTTCGCTTTGCAGCGAAATTGTTCCCGTCTCTCTGCCTTGAGAGACGCAGGCTCACATGGATACAGCTCTCCCAGTCGCTGGCCTCTCCAGACATTCCTTATTAAAGTTTGACGGAATAGCACCTGCTTGACGCCTCACAGCATTTTTGCAAAACACGTATGACAGAAAAAAGGCTGTGGGGGGTGGGATTTAAGAGGATTAATACAAGCCTAGGTAAAGCTCATTTTCTCGGTGCTTGAGACCAGCATGCGTGTGTGTTAGGGGCACTGCGACTGGGCTGCACTGAAGGCTGGAGTTTCAGGTCAGAGATGTGGAAAGAGGCTGCATTAGGACAACTTTAGTCTGATTCTCTTGCTCTTGACTAGTGTTGGGGAAGGACTGCAAAGTAACTGGTGTATGTCCCCGAGGCCCGAAGAGCACCCGATGGACATGGCTATCTCAGTGCGGTCTGGATCCCCTCTGGGCCTTACTCAGGGAAGCATGCAGGTGCTTTAACAGGGACCTGGGCATCAGTACTTGAAAGAAGGGCAAAACTGAAGGCTGGGGATAAAATGTTGCCAGCAGTGCCACCTGCTGGTCTTGTCTGTCAGCACCTGGCACCTCCAGAAGCTCCTGCTCTCTGTGGCCAGAGCGCCTGTGACACTCACAGCTCAGGGCGCCAGTCGCCCCTCCGCCCCCCTCTCTTCTTGCCCCTGATTAGAACAGTAACCCCCCCGTTGCTGTCGGATCACCGGAGGCGGCGATGGCAGCAGTCCGAACAAAGGAGCAGAAACTGGCTGAACAGAAGCCCGCCTGGGGGGGTCTCGGCGTGGGCCGCCGGCCTGCAGTGGGCTCCCCCGCAGAGCTCCGCTCGCGATCAGCCCGGCCCCGGCCGTCGCGGAGCTGGAGACGTGCACGGGCCGAGACCTGGAGCTCCTGGCAGGGCCGGGTCTGTCTCTCTCAGGAGGTCCAGGTGTGTTGTTGTGCTGAGGCACCGGCCAGCTGGCAGCCCCTCCAGCCTCAGGGCTCTATCAGGTCGCTAGCTGCGGTGAGGCAAGCAAGTGCAAGTCCTGCCTGCCGATCTGATCTGCTGCTTCAGAGCCGGCCGGCCGTTCCTCCTGGGATATTTCTGTGTTTTTACAACGCCGTTCCAAGCAAAACACAACGCCTGCAGAATGTTAATTTGCCCTGACAGAGGTTTCAGACAAGGAGCAAACTGAAAAGCTGGTTTTGTTTACTTCCCCCGCTAGCAGCGTGAGCTGAGAAAATAAAAACATCCCCCGACAGGCGAGAGCAGGCTCATCTTTTTTCTTTTTTTTTTTTTGGTCGTCGATGTTGCGTTCCCCTGTCCAACTCTCCTCTCCATTTTCTGGGTTTTGGACCTTTCCCACGTGGAGCGCTTTCCCGTGAAGACGGGCCTGGAAGCTCAGCTGCTCCGCTCGCGTCCCCTCGCCCGCTCCAGTCTGGGCGGCAGCTGCGCCTTCACGCCAGCTCGCATTCCGCGGGGCCCGACCCGCCGGGGGGGCAGGGGCAGGGGCAAGTGACACTCGGAGGCGCAGCCCACCCGACCCCCGACCCCCGACCCCCGTTTCTGCAGCCGCACCTTCCCCAGCGCAGTGCCGCCACCTGCCAGTGCGGAATCGTGCGCGAAAGGAAACAGGGACGTTGGGCGGGTTTCGCATGTTTCTAAACCCGAGTATGAACCCGGCCATTTGCTATTTTTGTGGCCCTCCGGATACGGTGCATTTTCCTGTCTCTCCCAATTGCTTGTCAGAAAACTGACTGCTGTCTTTTGCTTTGCAAAACAGGGACGAAGATTTTAGAACCCCCCCGCCGCCGCCCCCAAAATATCATTTACAGCTCCAGCCCGACAGAGAGGGCGACGCGTCAGCACTCAGCACTGCTCCCCACCCTGGGGTGACCCCGGAGTGATTTACAGAGCGGGTGGAAGCGCCGTATCGTTCATTTCCAGGTCTGCGTCGGGTGAATTTATTACCTGCCGGGCTTCTGTGTCTGCGCGGCGACCATGAAAGCAGCCCAGGGGCAGTTCGTCACTCGCAGTCTG